AATGGGGGAGTTGGGATGATGGCAAAAAAAAAAAAAAAAAAAGACTAGAGAGTTGGACACTGATACTTGAGGGAAAGGAAGCATGTGAAGAATGAAGCTGGGACAATTAATCCAAGCAGGCTCCTTAGATGGATGGGGACTTAGAGCAGAGAACTGTCAACACTCTATGCAAGAAGTTATCCACTAAGTATTTGTTCTCTAACATTTTATGAGTATCTCTAATATTTTATGTGTGGAGGATTCAGTGTTTGATGGTGTGGTTGTAAAGATGAGCAAGCTGTGGTCTTGAGGTATGCATTTTGGTGAAGACCAATGTGAAAAGAGACAACCATTATAAAATGGATATGGGCATTGGTAAAGGTTTGTAAAATGTGTTCTGGGAGCAGGTGGGATGGGAGGGGAGCTGGGTTTTGAAGCATGAGTTCTTCCTCACTTGCCCAGCACAGAAGGGGACAGGGTTTTCCAAGCAGAGTAGGGCAGTACAATGTTTTGTGGCAACAGGAAGGGGCTCAGCTTACTGTGCACGACGGCAATGACACAGAGGATGCACAAGGAATCCAGGCTTTTAGATGCAAAGATCTCCTAGACATGGTTTCTTAAAGCGGATCATTCATAAAGCAAAAACCCCACAGCACATGTACTGTATCCTGACTGCACAGGTAGCATTGATTTCCATACTTGTAGTCAAATAGCAAAAAGAGGGCAATGTGTGGGTAAAGGTATTAAGAAGTTACATGGAGATTTTTATGAGACAATATCAAATGAACAGGGTTGTAAAATGCAAATGAAAGGAAAAGGGAAAATGGCTACTGAAGAGACTTTCTGAAAGAACATAAATCCACTTAAGGGAACACGGCACACATGTAGAAAAATGGCTCAGAAACACTTACAAAGCAACATATAAATAAGTGCAAATAAATACAGTACAGACTGAGTCCCCTGGTGCTATGTAACCATGGAATAAACAAGAAATGGATATTGGATGAGGAGAGGTAGGGACTGCTTCCTGGAGGATGGAGATTTAATTATCGGCAAAGCTAGTGTATGTTAAACAGAGTTACCTGGGAATGCATCAAGCCAAGTTCAAAAAGCAGGCAGAGTGAGAAAACGGTCAGAGCCCCCTGACTCACTCCCATCCGGGTTGGTTTTTTGCCCACCCCAATGAGCACGTGACTCATGCGCCACTTTGAACAGTCTGTTTTCATTTCCTATGCAGGCAGTCACCCCCTCAGACGCCCCATTCAGTTTTCCCCAGACACTTATGACTCTCAGATTTCCTGTGGCTCCAGAAGTATGGGGGTCAGGCGGCCCTGGACTACAGGGAGGCAATTACCCAGGTAATTTAGGTGCCAAACTACTTTATTTGAATGTGAGGCTCATCTATCCAATTTTTGGCTCCCCAAGGCCCCGGCAGCTGACTCTCCCGAGACCAGCACATGCAGCACCAAGTCTTGGAAAACTTAACAATGTCCAATAAAATGTGGCTGTGTTGACATCATGTAGGGCCCCTGGGTCCCTCAACCACCTTTTCTATCTGCCATTTGGTTTGACATACGCAGCCGTCTTCAAGAGCCTGTGTTAATTTCCCGTAGATGCAAGGGTGCAGACCGGCTCTGAGTTTTGTTAGGTTCGAAAGTTGTTGTACGTCGCTCACTTAGACAAGGAATGTGAGTCTGAAAGGACTCCTCACCATGGGGATCTCTAAACTGGGAGACTGTTGGCCTGGACTCCCATCAATACAGACTGTCTCCCTGAGGTAGAGTTGAGAAGTAGTTAAGAGTTAAAAAGGAGAGTGTTTAAATAAAGGTGGAGAGGGAGAGGAAAGGAGAGGAAGGAGTCAAGAAAGATGACCAGATATCTGGCATAGGCAACTGAATGCCCCCAACTGAAGTAGGGTCTACAAAATAAAGACCAGGTTTAGAGGAAGTAGATGAGTTCTGCTTTTGAGCACGTTACATCTGAGCTACACCGGAGTGGACAGCGGCTGTCCATCAGTCTGTGCGAGACTGGCTTGCTCTGTCGGTATCCTGGTTTATTTCATGCCCGTGTGGCCTGTACCTCCCACCATATTGCACGTCCTCAGATGATGTCTGATGCCTACTGTTTCTTTAGTATCCACCTGCAGAGAACTTCATATGGGGTCCACTCAAAACTGGGGCTAACACTTGTTGATTAATGGGCTGGGAAAAAAGATACTTGAATGCCTTTCAGGAGAAACCTCCTGCCTCACAACTTGCTTGTGTGTTTGGGGGAGGGTGTTTCTTTGGACCAGTAGAGCCCAGTGTAGACAAACAGCTTTGCTGCTTCAGTCTGCTCTCTTTTTTTCCTTTTTTGAGATGGTCCTGGTATGTCTATTCATTAGGTTTTTTAAGTTGTTAAGCTACATGAAACTGAAGTTAGGGTAGATGATTTCATAAGTCTGTCATCCTGGCTGCATTCCTTTCTATTATTTTATTCTGTTACTTTATTCCATAAGATGGATTGAGAGCCAAACCCAGCTTGTCCCCGTTGCAAAGGCAGGCATGTCAAATAATGATCAGAGGACACAGGGAGAGGACTCTGACCCAGGAGACCAGAGACTTTTGAACCATCTTTTTATGATACAGACACCTTAAGCTCCCACGTGTTAAGAAGCAGTAGAGTTGATTCTTCTTTCCCCATTTCCTCACTGCTATGAAGAGTACTCCATCCGCAGGGCTCTAGTTTGTGGAAACTTGGAGCAAATTTTTAAATTCCCTTTAATCTTTACCTTATTCAGTCAGGACATTATCAAGCCCTGCACATTATTGCACCTTATCTCTCAGATCCCACTCTTCTCTCTTCTGATTTCTTGGCTCTAGAAATCAGAGCCTGAAGTGGAGGTTTATGGGATAATATTTTATTGAGGAATACAACCCCGGGGAAGCAAAAGTGAAGGATTAGGAAGGCAAAGCAGGAAAAAGGAGCAAATCAAAAGGATTGTGTTACAGCTGGCCATAGCTTCTTGAAAAGCTGTGGCTTCACATGGGGAAGATGTCTTCAGACGGGCCATGTGAAGCACCTGCATCCCCAAATAGTCTGTCTAGGGGAAAGAAGGGAAAAGCTCCCATTATTCAATTTTTGTCTCTTGGGGTGTTAACTGCCCTGCACTTCTGGGTCTTGTATGTATATGTGTTGTGCACAAGTTTCTTAAGCATCGATGGCAACAGGGAAGCCCCACGGTGGGGGACAAAAGATGTATAGCATAGGGGTGAGGCAAGGCCGGTCTGTGCATACCCACAAGCTACACTAGGGCCCTTGTTCAGGACAGAAGGCTGACTCTGGCATAACTTCCTTACCATTTGTATAGCCCTAAACCTGGCCTAGAACCAAACTGGTTATGTCTGGATTATCTCAACAGACCCCTAACCATCTTTTTTTTAAATAACATTTCTTATTGATTTATAATCATTTTACAATGTTGTGTCAAATTCCAGTGTTCAGCACAATTTTTCAGTCATACATGGACATATACCCACTCATTGTCACATTTTTTTCTCTGTGAGCTACCGTAAGATTTTGTGTATATTTCCCTGTGCTATAGAGTATAATCTCGTCTATCTATTCTACAATTTTGAAATCCCAGTCTATTCCTCCCCCCCCCTCAATCTTTTATACTTTCACATGTCTAGTCTTTCCCTTCTTCATTTATTTTTTTTTGGTGGGAGAGGTAATTAGGTTTGTTTGTTTATTTATTTGATGGAGGTACTGGGGATTGAACCCAGGACCTCGTTGATGCTAAGCATGCGCCTTACCACTGGGCTATACCCTCCTCACATCCCTTCTTTAAATTCACCAGTTACTGGTAAGAAATCAACAATCCGTAAAAGCTGTTTTAATAGAGTCCCCTTGTTCTGCAGTAGCCACTGTTGTTCATCATATCAAATCAAAGCTCCTCAGTTTGGCCTTAACGCACCCGAGTGCTGCCTCACCCCTCCCCCACTCCCCGCCCTCCATGTAATGGCTTTCTAAACGGAATCTCATGGGATCTCTTCTCCGGTTCAGGTTCCCTGCTTCTTCTCTTTCATATGTGACATACTTAGGCAAAACCTTTGGCCCACATGTCCAAATGTTCTCCTCTTCTCCGATACCTCAAATGTCTAGCCTTACAAAAATAATAATAGCTAAGACTTCTTGAATACTTATTATGTGCCAGGCACTGTGCTAAACGTTTTGCATATAACATCTCAGCTAACGTATTTTAAAAACCTTTAAGGCAGGTATTATTATTATCTACATTTTACAAAGGAGTTAACTGGTATTTGGAAAGATTAGGCACTTTGCCCAAGATTATATAGCTAATAAACTGCACAGTAATGACTTAAACTTTGGTTTGTTTAAACTCCACATAAAACTTCCTATTTGCTGGAAGACTTCCCTTGTTAACTCAACCCAGTAGTGACAACTCTATTGCTCTGTGACTGCTCAGCAGTTACAAATGTAGTTTCATTATGCTGCTTTGCCACTTTTGAAACATTATCTTATTAAATGTTCTTAAGTCTTTTATTGCTCTGTGTGTGTGCGCGCGTGTAAGAGAGAGAGAGACACAGACAGACAGACAGACATACAGACAGACAGGCAGGCAGAGACAGACAGGAAGGGAGAGATAGCTTCTCAAATGAGACCCTAGACTGGGAGGCCCCACAAGGCAGGGACTGACTTCATTACTTTTATATCTCTGTCATCAGAGGGCAGGGCTCTGCTCTTTGGCACCGGGAGCACAGAATACTAGAATGCTTACAGAGCAGTGTTCAGATGTGATTTTGTACAAAACAACGGTGTGGGCCCACATAAGAAAAGAGCCCACTCCTAGATTCTTCTCCCTAAGACATAATGAAGTTAAGGATGGCCCAGGGAACAGACGAGGGGCTGACTTATGACAATAGTGATCTTTATGTACAAAGATAAAATTTGTAGAGCAGGATATGATGAAAATCTTTTAAGTCAAAAAGGATATGATTGTAGGTGAATATAATACTTACCAAATCCTGAAATAACGGGTCAAGGGAGGCACATTTTGAAACATAAAAGAATAAACACCTGAGGATCTTGTTGAACTATGGATCCTAATTCCATAGGTCTGGCGTGGGGCTGACATTCTGCATTTCTTACAGGCTCCAGGTGATGCCAGTACTGCTGGTCATGAGCCACATCTTGAGTAGCAAATATCTAGACTGTGCAAGAGACTCCTGCAAATAAATAAGAAGACCATAATAACGCTAGTAGAATAATGTGAGGAAACTCAAATACAAATATATGCTCCCCAGTATTCCGAAGTTGCATTATTGGTAGTTCTTGCCTTTTTGTTGCTGAGAAGTATCTCATTGTGTACATACCACAACTTGTATATCCATTCACCAGTTGATGGACATTTGAATTGTTTCCAGTTTGCAGCTGCTGTGAGTACTTGTGTATACGTCCTCGAGGGAACATACATGTTTATTTATCTTGGGTAAATACCTAGGAATGCAATTGCAGGATTTTCTGGTAAGCATGTGTTTAGCTACAGAAACTGCTAACCTATTTTCCGAAGTAGCTGTACCATTTTCCATTCCCACCAGCAGCGGATGAGAGTTGCATCTGCTCCACATCTTCAACAACATGTGGTATTTTTGACTTATTATTTTGAGCCATTGAAGTGAGTGTGTAGTGGTAACTTATTGTGGTTCTAATTTGCATTTCCATGATGACTAAAGACATTGGGCAACTTTACATGTACTTATTGACCATTTGTGTATCTTCTTCTGTGAAATCTCTGTTCAGATCTTTTGCCCATTTTTAAATTAAATTGTTTGTCTTATTGAGTTTTAAGAATTCTTTGTCTTGACAAAGGAATTGGCAGATATATGTATTTGTGAGTATTTTCTCATGGTAAGTGTATCTTCCAATTCATGAACACGTTATATCTCTCCATTTATTTAGGTCTTCTTTAATTTCTTCAGTAATGTTTTGTAGTGTTCAGGTCCTGCACATATTTTGTTAAACTAATCTTTGGGCAGTTAATAAGGAGTTTTTGGATGCTATTACAGATAATATTTTTTAAACTTTCATTTTCTAGTTTTTCATAGCTAATACATAGGAATACAATTGTAAGTTTTCCATAAATACTCTTTATCATATTGAGAAAATTCCCTCCTATTTCAAGTTTGTTGAGAGTGATTAGTGTTGAATTCTGTCAAATACTTATTATAAATCTATTGAGATGATCACACGGGTTTTCTATTTTTTTTGCTTATATGATGAAATATATTGATTTTCAAATGTTAAACTTTGCTGGATTCAATTCGTTAATATGTTGTTAAGAATTTTTGTATTTATGTTAATGAGGAGTATTGGTCTGTAGAATTTTTCTTATAATGTCTTTGTATGATTTTGATGTCAGGGTAATCCTGGCCCCATGAAATGAGCTAGAAAATGTTTTCTCCTCCTTTATTTTCTGAAATTTATAAACTGGTGTTATTTCTTCATTCAGTGTTTGATGGAATTCACCAGTGAAGCCATCTGGACTTGGTGTTTTCTTTAGGGGAAAGCTTTTAATTACAAATTCTGTCTCTTTAATAGAATTAGAGTTACTCATATTTTCTATTCATGTGTCAGTTTTAGAAAGTTGTATCTTTCAGGAATTTGCCCATTTAATCTAAACTGTCAAATTTATTGATATAAAATTCTTCATAATTTTCCCTTATTAGCCTTTTAAAGTCTGTTGAATCTGTAGTTATATCTCTTGTCTTATTCCTGACATTTGTAATCTGTGTCTTTTTTTTGTTTTTCTTAATCAGTCTAGCTAGAGGTTTATCAATTTTATTAATTTATTTGAGGAATCCACTTTTAGTATTGTTTATTTGCTCTATTGTTTGTCCATTTTCTATATTTTTGATTTTCATTCTAATCTTTACTGTTTAATCCTGCTTACTTAAGATTTATTTTGCTCTTCTTTTAAGGCTCCTCAAAATTGAATCTTAGACCATTGATTTGAAACCTTTCTTCTTTTCTAATATAAGCATTTAAAGTTATAAATTTCCCTTTAGGCACTGCTTTAGCTACATCCCACAAATTTTAATATATTGTGTTTTCATTTTCTTACAGTCAAAGTATTTTCTGTTTTACTTTGTGATTTCTCTTTGTGTCACAGACTATTTAGAAATAAAATTAATTTTCTCAAATATGGGGGTTTTCCAGATGCACTGGCTTTTTATTAGGTTTTAATCTAATTCTTTTGTGATTAGAGTATACTTTGTATAATTTCAATCCTTTTAAATTTAGTAAGTCTTCTTTTATGGCCCAATAAATGGTCTTTCTTGGTGAATGTTCCATGTGTACTTGAAAATAATACATATTTTTCAGTCAGGAGGGGTTATAATGTATAAAGGACAACTAGATCAAACTGGATAGTAACATTATTCAAGCCTGCCATAACTTTACTAATATTCTGGCCACTTGTTCTATCAATTCCTGAGAGACAAGAGTTAAAATCTGTAATTTAATTGTGGACTTGTCTATTTTTCCTTACAGTTATGGTAGTTGTTGCTTCATGTATTTGATGCTTTGTAATTTTCCAACTACTTATTTATTATTATTTCCTTTTGATGACTTGAACCTTTTATCATTATGAAATATCCTTCTCTGTCTCTGATGCTGTTCTATGTACTGAAGTCTACTTTGTCTGAGATTAATATAGTACCTCCAGCTTTTTTATCATTTATATGCCAATTCTTTCCCCACCCTTTTACTTTTGATCTATCTGTGTCTCTCTATTTTAAATGTATTTCCTGTAGACAGTATATTGTTTGGTCATGTTTTTCATATTCTGACAATAATATTTAGACCATTTATGTTTAATGTAATTATCAATATAATTAATATTAAGCCTATTTTCCCATCTGTTCTTTGTTTCCTCTTTCTTCATTTGAATTAATTTAAGTTTTGGGATTCCATTTTTATCTTCATTATTGGCTTAATAGCTATACTTTTTCATTTTATTGGTTGCTCAAAGATTTATAATAAGCATCTTTATCAAAGTCTGTATTCAAATAATAAACCATTTCATGTATAAGAATTTCATAGTAGTTTACTTAAATTTTCTTTCTGCTATTGTTGTCCTATATTTTATTTCTATGTATGTTATAAGTCCATGGTACATTGTTATTATTGTTGCTTTAAACATCCAGTTATTTTTTTTAAAGAAAATTTTTAAACAAGAAAAAGTCTTTTAATATTTACCCATACATTTACCATTTCTGGAACTCTTGTAGGTCCAACTTTGCATCCAGTATCATTCTCCTTCAGGCTGAAAAACTTTCTTTAACACTCAGAATTCACTTAGCTTCTATTTGTCTTGGGGGGAAGTCTTTATTACACCCTCATTTTGTAAAACATTTTCACTGGATGTAGAATTCTATATTGCCATATACTTTTCCCCCAACATTTTCAAAATGCTCTTCCAATGTCTCCTGGCTTACACTGTTTCTGGAACATCTCTAAAATTCTTATCTTTGTTCCCTTATGTTGAATATCTGTTTTTTCTCTGGCCACCTTTAAATTTTCAGCAATCTGATCATGATGTGCCTTGGTGTTGTTGTTTTTATGTTTAGCCAGCTTGAAGTTCACTGAGCCTTTTGAATAGACAGGTTTATAGTTGTTTGTTTGTTTGTTTGTTGCAGATTGGGGGGAAATTGGCCATTATATCTCCAATTTCTTTTTCTATTCCATTACATGGATGTTAAACTCTTGATATTGCCCCACAGGTCTTTGAGGCTTTTTCTTTTTGTTTTTCAGTATTTTTCTCTCTGTGCTTTGGTTTGTGTGGTTCTCTGTTTTCAAGCTCACTGGTCTTTTCCTCTGCAGTGTCTTATCTGCTGTTAAGCTCATCCAATAAATTTCTCATTTCAGATATCGTATTTCAGGCTAGAGAAATTCCATTTTAACTACATCTTCTACTTTTGTCTTCTCTATGTTCATGTCTTCCTTTAAATCCTTGTACATATTTATAATCACTGTTTTAAGGTCATTGTCTACTAATTCCACTATGTTTAACATTTTTAGGTCTGTTTCTGTTGTCTAATTTTCCTTCTGTTTATGGACCAAAATACACTGCCTTCTTGTGTGTCTAGTAATTTTTTATTGGACTTTAATATTGTGAATGTTACATTGCTGAGTGTCTGTATTTTGCTTCCTCCTTTAAAAACTGCTTAAGTTTGTTTTGATACATTAAGTTATTTGAAGACAAACTATCTTTTTGAGGCTTGTTTTTAAGCTTTGTTAGGGATGAGTCTGGGCTAGTTTAGCCTCAGTACTAAAGCATCACCCTTCTGGAATTTCTACTGATTACTCCAGATGTTCAGTGATGTCTCTACTCTGGGTGGATGGAATTTGAATGTTTCCCAGCCCTGTGTAAGTTCTAGGAATTGTTCAACTAACATTTACCAGCTGTTGTTCTTTGCTCAGCATCATGGAGTTTCACCCTACCCATGCACAAACTAGTGTTCATCCAAAAATTCCAGCAGATTGTATGAAGACTTCTGGAGCTCTTTCTCTGCATAGCTCCTTCCTCTAAAGTATTCTGACCCACCAGTTCTAGCTGCCTCAGCTTCCCTGAACTCCAATTTCTATCTCCTCAACTTTGAATGACAACCATTCTCTGCTTGATGCACACTTTCTCTGCTGCTGATGTTTTTTAAAAATTGCCTCCAGGTTGGAATCCAGGGTGATTATAGGAGTCACCTTGTTTGTTTCCCTCTCTCAGGGATCACAGTCCTGCATTGCCTCTTTTCTCAACATTTGAAAAAGGCTTTTCATATATATTTTCTAGTTGTTTACAGTGGGAGGACAAGTTCCATATCAGTTACTTCTTCGTGGCCAGAAGCAGGTCTCTTACTTGGCTTCTCATTTTCTTTTTCTCTTCATTTTTCATATTCTGCAGTTTCACTGACACTTGTTAGATGTGGATTTGTTTAGTTGTCTTGCTTAGAATTCATTAGGCTGCTTAGTGACTTGAATCAGTTTTAGAAAATTCTGTAATTATCTCTTCAAATATTGCCTCTGCCCTGTTTTTCTCTCCTTTTGTTTTGAAACTTTAATTAATGTGCGGCAGGTTTTCTCACTCTATCTTCTGTATCTCTCAACCCTCTTCCATATTTTCATATTTTTTTCCTCTCTGCTGTATTCTGGATTTCTTCTGACTTATCTTCTA